CAATAAGGGCCGATGTTTCCTCTGATGGAATGTATTCGCTTCCATAAATAGAGTTTGAACATCGGGTAGCTTGAATGTGTTGTTGTTTTCCTGATATAACCTTTAAGTTATGTCCAAACCATCTCAATGGGATTGTAGTGGCAATGATACGGTGGCAGTCTGATTACAGTGTGCCCAGCTCAGCTGCTTTAGTGTCGATCACGTATTTCGGCTGAGTTGGCTTGTGTCATTTCACCACTTCTTACAGCTCCCACTTCCGCAGATCAGCACTGTGAACAATTCCCTTTTCTTGGGGCCACTTTGTCATTTCCCCTTTCGTGGAGCTTGAAGTAGGGACTTTATCCTTGATTCGAGAGTGGTAAGGGGCATTATCTATCACGATAATGCTTCTCTGAGGGTTGGCTGGTATTAGCACAACGAAAAACCAACCTTTGAAAACCTCGCTGTTCATCTCCTCGTGGTAGTCGCACGTCTTTTTAGATTCAAAGATAAGTTGAGGGACGTTTATCCAACCTTGCTGTCCTCATGCGGGGCAATAAATTAACATTTTCCCTTTGCCTAGTGGAGTATTCAAGGTCCTTTTGACACTGTCATCTGTCCATCCTTATTACAATAATTAAAAATTATTATTTTTATATCACACTAAAACCAAAAACTTTTATTTATTAATAAAAAAAGTTACTGAAATACAATAAGTTAAGGCATATTCGCTCACAATAAGAAGGAGGTTATAAAAATTAAAGTTAAGCATAATAAATGATAAAATAAAGTAAAATATATTATTTTTTTAAATACCATAAAGTAGGTAAGCCATATTTAAAATTATAGACCTAGGTTATATGAGCAAAAGTACAAGATTCCCAGTAAAGTTCAGATGTTCTTTTCATGTAAGGTTACAGGCCCCGGAAACTGGTAGTATAGTTGGTTGCCTTGTGGTTTCAGCTCTGGTAGCTAACATATAATATTACATATTACGGAGTAGTTTATCCCGTTCCCTTTCTCTCTGTAGATGAGCTTCCCATTGTTCAGCATATCTCTTCTTCTTTTATCTAGACTTTTTCATGCGCTCCTTTGCTGGAGCCATGATCTAGAAAAAAAATATAAAAATTAAAATTAGAATTTGGAATAAAACTATAATTATCAATCAGTGTAGCCTACGATATACAGTCTTGAAAAATAGCCTAAAAACGCATAGTTATATAGTTAAGGCATAAGGTTAACATATAGTTTTGGCATATATGCTTTACAGACGATGTTTAAACAAACATTATGAAATGGATTACAATGAATTCATGATTCACATCCCATTGAAAACTGTAGCTTACTGTAGACTTAAAATTAAACAGGCAGGCTAAATATATTCAAGCCTACTGGTACTTCTAGATAACCTCAAAGTTTTTTCAATTTCTCAAGTCGTATTATAACTTTTCCCTTGGTAGTCAGCAAATTGCATTAAAAAAATTTAAATATTTCTTTTTATCGAAAATCTAAGCACTCTTGAAAACTAAGATGTGATGTGCACATGTGTTTGCTTTATTTTATATCATTTTATCTTAATATATAGTTATCTGAGGCATTTTATGATGTACGAACAGGATCAACAAAAAAACACATCTAGAAATAGAATATTTCATCTATAAATCTGTCAAAATAATTATAAGATCAAAATAAACAAAATTAACTGCTCTAGATAAATATAAAGTTTATTGGTAAATTATACAAACAGTATATAACAATAAAAGGCAACATACAGGGTGAATTAAAAAGTCAAGACCCCCCCCCCCCATCTAATATTTTTCCAACGGAGATATCCTTTTGGTCGTCGTGCAATCTTAGCAGGAAGTTTCATTTTATGATTTTGAAATTTTTTTGAGTGTCACCCCAAAAGGTAAAATTTGGGGGGTAACTCAAATATTTTAAATGTAAACCCCCTTCAAGTGACACCTCATTTTGAAGAGTTTACAATAACTTAAAGAATAGTGAAAACTAGAGGTCGCTATGGCTTTTCTATTCGAAATGGTAGCCCGTCAAATGTTGTGGAAAATCAATAGTAAAATTGGTTCGTATTGGTAATATTGGCTACCATTTTGGATAGAGAAGAGATAGTGAACTCTGGTTTTCACCATTCTTTAAGTTTTCTGACAACACTGCAAAACAAAGTGTCACTAAATGGGGATTTACATTTAAAAGTAAGTGTGCCCCCCAAGAGGAATCTTTAAGTTTTTGTAAACCCTTCAAAATTAGGTGTCTCTTGCAGAGGATTTACATTTAAAATATTTAAGTTGACCCCCAAATCCCCCCTTTTGGGGGAACACTCAAAAAATTCAAAATCATAAAATGAAACTTCCTGCTAAGATTGCACGACCATCAAAAGCATAACTCTGTATATTTACTTTGAAAAATATTAGATGGGGGGGGGGGTCTTGCCTTTTTATTCACCTTGTATAATAACAACTATAGCTGCCCTGTACAGTGTACATCTCATTTGAGTTTAGTAGTAGTTTTTTCGTATTTGTTATAGACTACTGCATATAGATATGTATAAAAAAAGTATAATGTTTTTTTTACACACCCTGTAAATGGAAATCGAGGTTGTCATTTACCACTATAAACATTGTACCTATAACTTGCGTCGTAGCTCAATGGATAGGGCATCGGACCTGCAACTACTACCATTCTTTATTTTCTTCTAACCAGCAAATGTTGTGTGTTTCAATTATATCACCATCTTCTGTACCACAGTACCTGCCTCAAACTTTAGTTGATATTTTGAATCCTGGAAACATTGCTGTACTATAGGAGGATCTTTACAAAGAGCCAGCAATGGTCCATTTCTGCGAGAAGATCTTTGAGGGTATACAACTTCAACAGTCTTTTTTTTTAGTCGGATCAATAACAAACATCTCTTGCAATCTCTTTTCTATTTGTTCTTAAGGATTATTTCGTCCTCGTTTCATAATTTTCATTTTATGGACATAGTGTTACACAAAAATATATAAAATATATAAAAATACACAAGTGTGTGATCCAATGATTGTCTATTCTAAATCAATCACAACTACCATCTTTTATATATATTTAGAGTCTTCTAAAAACAGTATAGGGGAAACATATGTTTGGGATATAATTTAATTTACTTGATGTTAAATTAACAAAATGTACAGTAATATCAATGTGCTGATCAACAACTTATATGGTTAAGTGTGAGGTCTTAATCGTACCTGGCGATGATGGACCCAATTGATGCCCTGCAGTTTGGGCAGGTCCTAGGCATCCTAAAAGGCAGCTCCAAAATATCCCCTCCTGATGTTGCCACAGACTCACAGGCTGTTGTTGCTGATTAACAAAGGCTGGGAGGCAGTCACTGCATAGAATGTTATGACCACAGGGGGATGCCGTCCTGTGTGCCTTGTTCACCAGGCTAACGTAGCAGACTGTGTCAGTGTTAAGTACCTCGACACACGTAACGCTGTTTCCCCGGATGCTAATTGCTTTAAGGAGGTCCTGGGTCTCCCTTTCAATAAAATCTATGGGAATTACCTCCCCCGGCCTATGGGTTGTTGGGTTCTTAGATATTCCTAATGGCGTTCCTAGATATGTGGACCATCTTTGTCCTTAATTTGGGCTGTATCGGTTTAGT